TCTTTGATGTTTCAACGAATGCTTTTAAGTGGCTATAAATATTTCGTGTGCTTACTTTAGTTGTTTGGAGCATTCTAGGAGTCAAATTAATATTCTACTGACCTAAATTATGTAGTGATTTTTTTCTAGATTATAGAAATTTTTTACCATGAATCTGCTGAAGTATTCTTGTTGGGGTAGGCACAAGTATAAATCCAACATTGATATGCTTTGATAGGCTTGTCAGACAAGTTCTTGGAGCATTGGAACACAACCTGAATTATATTTTGAACTGGAGGTAAGAGATGATAAACCTGATGAACTGATAAGAGGCTATCAAATTTGTGAATTTGTTCTCAAGGCATAATGAACTAGATTTAATAAAGTTAATGGTTTCTTCTATATTTTAAGGTACACTTTTTTCTGCTGGTGAAGAGAGATTGGATTGCGAAAGGTCACATTATTTTTGTTATGGATTTGTTATTTTTGTTTGTATATGTAATGGAATATTATTTTGTAGAGTGAATATTATCATTATGTTAGAATGAATAAAAGCAGAGTATTTATTTTATCATTTCAGGCTATAGCAAATGTTGTTAGAAAGGTCACATTTTTACCTCCAATAAATTGAATATTTGTTAACCACAAACAAAAGTTATTAAATGCAAAAAAATGCAAATTTAGTTGCCACTAAAAGATATTACCATTATCGACAGTTAAGTTGGTCTTTACCGGCAATTGTGATTGCCCCTAAATGTATGAACTAAAATTGTCTCTTTACCACTTTTAGTTGTCATTTTAATTGCTGGCAGATAATTACCACTAGTTGTCAGACCTTTTAGCGGCAATAATTTGGGACTTTACCAGCACTCTTATTTATTGCCGCTAAAGCCTTTAGCAACGGTGGATTCAACGGCAAATGATTAATTGCCAGTAAAAAATTTTGCGGCTATTTTTATTGCTTCTAAATGGATTATCTTTTATCGCTAAAAGCCTTTTTTTGTTGTAGTGCCTGTTGATTCGAACGAGGTCGAATTTGTCTTGCTGATTCGAGCGAGATCGAATTTAGACTTGGTGATTCGAGCGAGGTCGAATTTATTGCTAATTCGAGCGAGGTCGAAATTAGACTTGTTGATTCGAGTGAGGTCGAATTTATCTTGCTAATTCGAGCGAGGTCGAAATTAGACTTGTTAATTCGAGCAAGGTCGAATTTATCTTGCTAATTCGAGCGAGGTCGAAATTAGACTTGTTGATTCGAGTGAGATCGAATTTATCTTGCTAATTCGAGCAAGGTCGAAATTAGACTTGTTGATTCGAGCGACGTCGAATTTATCTTGCTAATTCAAGCAAGGTCGAATGTATATTTCCTTTGTTGGTGTGAGGTGTAAACTTGGTGCAGTTGCGTAGAAATTCTGTATGCTATTTCACTTACTCATTTATCGGAGAATACTACATGTTGTTGTACGGTCCGTACACACATTTGGGGAGTCCCAGTCTGTTAATTCGAGCGAGGTCAAATTTTAGCTAGTTGCGTCGTCGCATAATGGCTTGGGCGAGCGCGTGAGTGAGTTTCACGCACTTGTGTTCTATCTGCATGTTGGAGAGATTTGTAAGTTTTTCGGCCTGGTGACCCAGTCCCAGTCTATACACTCTTCCTTTATGGCGTTGAGTACCAGCTTGTTGGGGGGGGGGGGGTCGCTCGACCGTTGCCTGCAGGATGATATGACGCGGAGTGTTTTCTTGGTGTGCTATTTTGATGGCGTTCGTTCCTTGTTCGTGTGTCGGTGAGGTTGCCCCTATTCCCGTCCCATCCTGACAAGAAATAGCAGGTTGAAGCCAAACAAAATCGTTTGTTACCTCGACTGATTAGTTGACGAGTGGAAGGGAGCGATCATGTTCCCTTCTTTGGCTATGCTTCGTAGCTGCTCTCATTTGTTGAGCTAATATCCACCGAACTTGGATGACATCTTCTGGGTCTTTGGCCTGGTGCTTTTGCCATCTCCGCTACTTGGGTCTGGAAAGTCCCTTCGATCTGATTGGCAACGAACTGAGAGTGCTAGCTTTAGATCCGATCTCAGCCTCGTACTTAGCTTCGGCGTTAGTCGAATCTGAGCACCTTGTGGGTTGATGATTTACTTTGCTCGTTGGGATCTTCGAGTTCGAGTCCCAATACGATCCAGTCCCGAGTGTGTGAACACGGAAACATAGGTCGCACCACAAGCACACAAGCGAAAGGATGAAGCTACAACGAACGGGAAGTAGAACTAGGACCGAGTTTAGATCTAGAGGAAACTAAAACTTTGGCTAGAAATCCCCATAGACTATCACGCCCCAGCCTCGGGAGGTGCGACCGACGCTCAATCAAGTGAACCCAACTGAGCAAGCCTTATTAACACTTTCTACCCAACTCAATATGATTAAGGAAACCATGCTTTCGTTTGTTTAGACAATAGCAAAATCGAACATTCAACATTGTTAGTTCATTTTTATATCACATATCTTAAATCATGGCTAAGTTTCCAAGATTTCATACAGTTATAGTTTAGAAGAACTAGAGTATAGAGTTACAACACAGTTCATTAACCCATCCAACACCCATACATAACCCACACAAACGTCTATGGAGCCTCTACGGATACAAAAGACAATTTATGACAACGCCGGCAACAAGGCTCCAGGTATACCTCAAAAGTGGAAGTCTACAACAAAAGATGTACAACATAACCCCTTGAAGGAGAAAGGGGCTCACAAAGACTTTGAGAGGAGGACACTCCACTACGCGCAATCGGCATTGTCCGCTATGGAGCCACCTACATTCATTTAAAAATGTAGCGCCCCTGGCAAAAGGGACGTTAGTACCATGGAATAGTACTAGTATGTATAACTAAACACCATCTAGTTAGAAAGAACTTTCATACAAGAATAAGGAAATCACAAGTATAACTCAAAACTTTAGACGATCACCACATTATCAAATAAAAGAATCATACAATTTTCACATCATTTTTCCATAGCTTTTAGTTTGGGGCATTTCACGCTGTTCATCATTGTTCACAATACCACCGCTATCTTGAGCGGAGTCCGATCTCGACCCGATCGGCTAGGTTGCCACATTTGAGACATATACTTCAATCACAATCTCATTTTCCCTTTTTCCGAAATTCAATATCAGCATAATACCACCATGTATGCGGCATGGCGTCCTATCTCGGCCCGATCGGCTAGGCCGCCTTACCAAGGCGTTGTCCCTTCTCATTACTCATCTCGTTTCAATCTTTATTTCATATATATCATTTCATAGGCACTTGGGGCCTCAACTATCACATCATTTTTGGAACTAGGCCACATTTCACATTATTCCCAATTTCAATGTTAGCTTTGCAATTTAGGATAATAGGTTCACACAAGAGCAATTTAAATTGTAAGCATAGATAAGACTTCACATAGATGGCACAACAAACGCAACTTCAATCTTGATTTAAGGTCTAAGCATTTCAGTACATGATTCATATTCTTCGCATCTTTTCAAGTTATCAAGAATAGCACATTGATCATATTGAAACACATCTTTCACGTATATAAAGTTGCGACACCAATTCATGTGAAATAACAATCAATACAACAATTCAACTTTAATCTTACCGCATTTACACAAACACGAACGGCGCTCAATTTCTAAAAAGACGGGATTTTAGCCATACATACCTCAATAGAGCTTTCCTTAAATTCTTACAAAGTTCCGGGACTCTTAGCAACTTCAATCTATTGTATAGGAATTACAAATTGAACCAAGAATTAGAGACATGATTAAGATTCTAGCTCATTTGAGCATATTATCAAGCACTAAATGTGCATTGTGATCTTAGGTTCCTTTTGTGAGAGATTTCTTCAATCTTATACTCCAATGGCTATCTTTTTAGTTCACAACTTCCCCATATCCCATTATCTTTTATGCATGCAAGATTATCAGTCCTTATACCCATGAACCCACTTGCTAATCACTTATTTTAATAGAAAATTCAAAATTATAGATTAGGGCACAAGTTCTTACCTCTTAGGGTGAAGACCTACTGATTTCACTTAACAATCTTCAAGGATTTGGGGAAAGAATTGAGTGGGGACTTGATGAAGATCACTCCCTCTCTCTCTCTCTAGACTTCCTCTCTCGCTCTATATGCAGTAAAATATCAGAAAATGGGTTTAACGGGGTATTTTTAATGGGATGGGGTCGGGTTTTAAAAGTTAGAAAATAGGAGCCCCGACACAATCTGCGATCGCATAATTGACATGCGGCCCGCGAAATGGACCGCAAAAATGGCTTCAGAAACCTGAACAAACTACCCGAGTATACGACAGGAATGCGGTCCGCATACTTGTTCTGCGGTCGCATAATGCACCGCAGAACTGCCCCTCGCAAAATTCCAAGGGGATTATGCGATCGCATTGTCGGCGCATAGTTGACCTCAAAATTACCATCAAACTGTCTGACTCTGCGACGACTATGCGGTCCGCATAGCTATTAGGCGACCGCATAATGGACCGCATAAACGCACTTTTCTGGAAAATATTTTTTCCTAACTTTTTAATGCATAGATCAGCCCAAAGAGTCCGAGCTCGCCGCGAAAATTTTTACAACTTTCTAACACATATTCCTAACTTGGCACCACGAGCTTTCGGGTTTTGAGTAGAAATTTTCACGGGGCCTTACACAGACGGCGCCAAATTGTTCGATTTAAAAGTTGTAGGCCTTTTTGCTAAACTAATTGAATAAGAAAATACGGGGTAAATCCTAGCCAGAGATAATTTATTCTAGATCTGAGTAATGAGATAGAAATGAACAAGCATAGCTGAACATGTAAATGGATTATAGTTGCGATTAAATTCCGTAATGCAAGAAAAGGATGGTTGCTCTAATAATATTAAATTACCACGAAGATTACATAAAGGAAAGAATCACTGTTCTTGAACAAGACAGACCTTCATACATTTGGTAAAGTTGATTTACACATGAATACCCAAATTCTAAACTGTTGGCTCCTCTTTGAGCGGAGAACCTCCGTGGAGAGAATCTCTCCTCCTTCATAGAGATGTCCTCTCTCCCATGATATTTATAGAAAATATTTTCCTTACTCAACGGTCCTTAATGGGACTACCTAATTTATTGGAATATCCCGTAGAATATTCCTCTAATAAATGTAAGTGTTGAGCTAGTAGTTCGGGCCAAATTAAGTGCTGGATCCCGTAGCTAAATCACTGTATATTGCTTCGGCTTGGTTGACGGTTCTTTCTTTTGATCATCTATACACTTCCCTTTCCCAAATTCCGTTCGCACTGTCCAAATTCCCTCAAATGTTCAATTAGGGCTTCAAATTTGGAATTGCGAACTAACATTTCCTCTCCTTCAAGGTCTTCGCTGTGGCTGTGGCTGCGCTTCGATTCACCTATCCATAGTTCCATTAACATTTCGATCAAGCCTTGAAATAGTAAGCTGTTTCCCTTTTTAGTTTCACTTGTTCAATGATTCCCCATCCCCAATCCTCTTAATGCTTTAATTATATTGGAGAAGAGCAAAATCATATCTTGGTATTGGAGTCCAAAACTGAGAAAATGTGGCAAAATTGATGACTTTACGCTTTCATATTGTTTGATTGAGAAAAAGAAATTGGCGACTGAGAGTTTAGGTTCTTCTGAAGTGTGACATTTTCATGGCTTCTCAATTTGTTATTTTATTTACTTGAAAATGGAGACAGGTAACAACTTCTTCTGATTGAAGCAGTATACCTGTATAATTTCTGAATTAAACAGGAATCATGTGGTACATTAAAAATTTGCTTATGCCTATGTATCCATGATACGATCGAATTTATATACTAATAAAATAGATTGCCTTCTGGGAGCTTCAAAGCTTGAACTTCCACTTTCAATAGTCAGAAGAAGCGCGGAAAATTTAGCAGGGGTACGCGCAAAGTCTTCAATTATTGGCCAAGTATTACTTCACTTCCTCTTAGTTCAAGCTATCCTTAGCGGTTGTTCATCTTCCACTGCCCGAGGCCGCAACTTCCCTAGCTGGACATGGATGCACAGAGAAGGCCCTCACTTGGTTCTTTGACATCGTCTAGGTTGCTAGGAAGAATGCGGGCTTAGAGCCAATAGAACTAGTGTTCCTTCGTCACCCTCTAGCGTACTGAACTTGTGAAAAGCATGATTTAAGATATGCACGGACAAAAGTAGCTGCTAACCTTTGTAGTGTACATTTGGTGGTTATGACTCTGAAATACTTCATTTTGTACTTCTATTTGGTTAGGACTTCGGAGTAGTATGCTTCAGGGATCTTGGAATAAACCAATGCTCCATTCTTGTCCTTTTATAGTCTATAAAGCTGCCAAGCTACTTTGTACTAGTCGTTGAAGTGAATTAATATATGCATTGTTGAAAAGAAATTACTAAAGGTTGCTTGTTTGAACAGCTGCTGAAAATTCCTCTTGAATTTTGTGGAAGTTTTTCCTTTTTTGGTTAACAATTGAAGTGCTGTTATGTTTTTCGTCAATCATTGATGTCCTTGGTTTCAATGTGCTTTATTATATTAAAGTATCTAATTGTTTAATGGTATTTGTAAGTGAGGATTTGAAAGTCATTGTGCAGATTCATTTCTCTTTTTGTTAAATGCAAATTCCTGTGATAAAATGGAGCCTCCTACCAATCCCTTCTTCCTTTGGTTAACCAAAATTGTAAATCGAACCCAGAATATTTGGTCATCAAAGCCAAAGTATATTCAATTATCAGGTAGCACTAGGCTCTCGACTTGGAGGAGGGTATAGGAGTGGAAAAAGCTTGTATTTAAGTTGGGTGGAGGGTAGAGTGACGGCCCCATCCTCCCCAGAATTCATAAACAGTGAGCCAATTGGAGTCAAGCCAAAAGCCCACAGGGAATTTCTCATTTTTTTAGGGGAAAAAACAATGCTCTCGACTTGACAATAACCAAATACCAGGCTTATTTGTCAGTAGTCTTGAGACTTCCAATCCCTACAAATAAAAAAGATTTGGAGTTAGAGGTGTATAAACTGATAGTCACTTTTTCCTAGTTTTGATTCAAATGCCTTGTATTGAGTGGTATGTAACAACTAAAATTTGACAGTTTCAGGTTTTGGTTTGTTCTTCCCACCAGTCTTAAGTATTCTGTCATTCGAAGTGTTGGTAACGCTTCCATGAGTTTGCACCACCCTAGTTCGACTGAAGACATTTTCGACTCATCACTGAATTTAGAGGACACTCATTACAAGGAAGGCTACTCCGAAGGCTATTCTAGTGGCCTAGCTTCGGGCAAAAATGAAGGCCACGAGGTGGGGCTGAAAACCGGGTTTGAAGTAGGTGAGGAGTTGGGTTTTTACAGAGGTTGCGTTGATATCTGGAATGCTGCAATTCATATACAACCAAACTGCTTCTCGTCACGTGTGCAGAAAAGCATCAGACAGATGGATGAATTGCTCAAAAAGTATCCTGTTTCTGAACCGGAGAACGAGTCTGTCACTGATATTATGGACTCATTGAGGTTGAAATTCAGAGCTATATGTGCAACATTGAATGTCAAATTGGAGTATAATGGGTACCCCAAAGCTTCCGATGTCAAGAATTCAGGATTCTGATTGGTTCAAATATTAAATGAAGGAAAAAACAGATACTTTTTCTGTCTTTTTCGTGATCGGTTTGATCGAAGTAGAAGGTATGTAAAATTTTTAAATTCATGTGCATCTTAGAGTTTTCAACCGATCCCTAATCTCTCAATATCAATATTAGCCATATGTGGTTCAGTAAGGTTTTGTAAAACATTTGGTTGAGTATAATGAAGAGAAACATTTTCTGAATCAAGTTAGATTTATGTCAAGCCCAAGTTCTACATAGCTATATGTATCTATATTCTCTCCCTCTCCTCCTCCCTTTAAAAGTTTGCATGAGTGTTTACACTAAATTAATGCTCGCTTCATATCTATCATACACACTTATCAAACCATTGTTGATATATATTCTCTATTTAGTTTTTTACTTCTAAGGTTAAATTACTATATTATGTGTAAACACCCCCTGTAGGTAATTATTACCTCTATACTTTGGAAAATAATCATTTCCTGCCCCTTAAGTATCTCTGTATCTAAAATAGCTGGGTCAGAGAACGATGTCTTAGCCCGAAGCACATTTCCTTTTCAGCTTTCCACACTTTTGGCACTAATTTAATCAACTTTTTTTGGTAAAACAAAACAGGAAATGTTGATTTGATTCCAAAATTCACATTTTCCACTTGGTTAATAGTGAAAGCACAGAGGAAGAAGTGACCAATCAACATAAGAATTTCATAAGAAAACTGCAAAATAAGAAGGAAAAAGAATCCTGCAAAAAGTCACAAGTCTCTTCCTATTAAAGCATTCGTTCTGTCGGCTATTCATGTATAGAGAGGGTCAGGTTTTTCTATAAGTAATGCTAAAAATGGATGCTTTAATATGCTTCTTTATTGATCTTTTCTAAATATAGAAGATTTGTATTCCAAATCACCCGATAAAATTTAATTTGTAAAAAAGGAGTATTATGATAGCCCGTTCCAAAATACATCTTTTTCAGCTCTTCTTTGAACACTTTAAGATAATTTCAAATTAACCAAAAAAGGGAAAACAAGGTGCATAGATAACAATTAGAAGGAGGAAAAACAATCAAAACGGAACTCCACTAGTACATCCTATTTTTGAATTTTCCAAATTCTACAATTTAAAATTTGAAAAGAAAGAAAATTAATACCTATTCAAACGAGCAAAAGCTTCTAAGTAAGAGAACTTGTCTATTCCATGGTTGAACAACATATATAGACCACATTGAACATAAAAGATAAAATTTCATAGTAAAAGGGCTTTTGACAGAAGATGAGAGTGAGCACCAATATTATTGTTTAATAGTAATATTCATGGAATTTTAGGAAGGTGGTTGTGATGAAGAGGGTCAGGTCCTGTTGGAATTTGTCTAGCTGATTCTTCCTCCTTTGATGTCTCTTTATTAATACTCCTCTTCCCTTCTTTCTGTTAAACCCACAAAAGAATAAAAAGACCAAGAAATTAATTAGACAAAAATTCAAATCTTTTTCTGTTTTTTCTAAAAGAAATCGAAGTTAATAAGTACCTGAATCTTTACATCTGGAAAAACCCCTTTTACTTCTTGACCAACTGAAAAAATAGATACATAACATTCTCATAAATAAGCATATTGTAGAGTGATCGATAGAAAGAGTGACACTGTGTGTGTGTGTGTGTGTGAGAGAGAGAGAGAGAGAGAGAGAGAGAGAGAGAGAGAGAGAGTTTACATGGAGGAAAGCCAAGAACAAAGGGTGCTGAAACCACCATGAAAATAACCAAGGCATAGAACAATGACATAGTAAAAGTTCTCAAAGACGCCATTTTTATCTCTTGATAACAAAAGAAATATCCCTGTTTTCTCAAAAGAGACGTAGTGGTAGAGTGCAGGTTACTCTTTCATAGAGAGATTTTAAGGAAATATGTTTATAGCAGATAAAGGGAAATAAGAACAAATATTTGAAGTTTTTGAATTATAATGGAATATTTAAATACGAGAAACTGCTTTTGGACTGGATAATTTTGAACACCAAAGGGAAATAAAATTTGTCGTTTTAACAGAGGCATATAATGATAGTACGATGTTTTTGTCTGTTTATACAGACGACGAGAGGGAAAACAGAAAACGTTCCACGATTGTTGCAACAACGTTATTCGTACAGATGTGGAGATAAATGATTGGTTCATAAGAAATAATAGTACGGAATGTGATACTCCCAATCATTTGATGCTGAGTGACAACATTAATATTTTCTGTCCTATGAAGAAGTCTGATTACTCATTATTTCGTGTAAAAATGTGTGATCCTTGTTTTCCTCTTCTTGACAAGATATTTGGACATCATCGCATTTTTTGAAATTTATTTTAATCTTTTTTATTTGGGATTTTTACACTTCAAAGTAGGCCAACAAAGCCGACAATAAAAAATAATCCTAATCTTTATTTCTTGCAAAGTTTAGCAAGTATAATCATTATATTTAAGTGTGATACATCATGCACTAATTATACATTGATTATACACTCATTAAGTATACATTGACGACGGCTATCAACGGTTACAGCAAAGCGGGTGCTAATATTTTAGCCACATGACTAAAAATGTTAAGATCCTTTTCTCGTTGGAGGAAGACCGAAGAAAAGAAGAAAAAGGAAAAGTAAAAGACGAAAGGACATGTTTATTCTCCAAACACATCTCGCACAGGCTTTAAGGCTAGAAGGAGTGTCAAACTTAGGTAGGTTGGACGGGTCATATTTTCATGAGCTAATTTTCCATCCCCTAAGGATCAAATACCGCGGAAATGAAAGCTTTTTACTAGGGGTGTACAAAGGAAACCGACAAACCGCACCAACCCGATAATCCGAGTCAATTCGAGAAAAAAAACCCGACTATGGTTTGGTTTGATTTGGTTTGGTGTTGGAAAGAAAAAACCCGACCATAATTGGTTTGGTTTGGTTTTAACTAAAGAAAGTCAAACCGAAACCAAACCAACCCGACATTATATATATATATATATATATATATATATATATATATAGAAATTTTAGATATATTTAACATATAAGTATACTTATTGTGATGCAATTTATAAATATTTCTTAAAAATTTTCATAATTTTATCTTTTAAGTTATTATTTCAAGGTTGGACTTAGAGCTTTTGAATGTTCCAATAAGTTTTATAGCCATTAACATTAGTAAATTAAATAGTGCTAACAAAAGCCCAAACCAAAATCAAATCAATAGTAATGCTAACAAAAGACATTCAATACAATACTACGAACGGGAATGTATTGAATATCTATTTTTTGTTTTGCAATAATTTAGAAAAAAAAATGCGCATAACATATTTTTATTTTTTCTTTAGCGTTTAGTCATGTAATTAATACTCCCTTATTAGTCTACTTATTTTAGCATGACTTAGTACTTTTAGATTATGTTTATTTTTATTATGGTTTTTTAATTAGCGGCATTTATATTACATAAGTTTATTGTCTTTATTGTTGAATATTTTAGGATAATGCCATGACATATCTCATATTTTGTATTATTTTCTTAGAAGATACTTTATATAGTTGTATCTTACTAGGACTAAAGAAATATTTTGAGCACAATTTATATATCTTGTTCTACGAAGATTTTACCGGGAAAAAAACCCCGAAAAACCCGAATAACCCGAAAACCCGAGAAAAACCGAGAGTGAAAAACCCGAATTTTATAGGTTTGGTTCGGTCTTTAGATTTAATAACCCGACACAATTGGTTTGGTTTGGTAATTGTAAAATCCGAACCAACCCGACCTATGTACACCCCTACTTTTTACCTTTGTTTTAAGATCATTAATTTTGTAGGTAGATCACCCTGTAATTCCAAGTATATTTGAAGAAAAACTCAGCTACATTTGACCTCATTTTCAGCATATTTATGAAAATAACTTGTGATGACCTTTGCCAACTTTTGTTCCACAACTCGCTTGACTTCAAAACCTAACACGCGTTTATCATACGACTAAAATAACTCATAACATAATCTCCTTATAACGTTAAGCACCCTAGTCCCACCCCAAAAGTACATATTATAACATTCCAACTTGTCAACTTTCGACGGAACTTATTTTCTTCAATTCATTTTGCTTCTAAGCCTTTCAACCCTCACTTTTGTTTTGTTTTGTTTTTAAGGACTTACAATTTTGGAATTCCAAAGTAATGCAATGGGCTTATCTAAAACTAGCTGGAAAACCAAAGGAAAAATGACATTGTATAACCGCTGTAAAAATAATAGCCGAAAGATATATAAAATTTGTATTTTTTTTATGTATATATATACATTCATGTTATATACAAATTTTATACACTTTTTCGGCTGCCAGATATAAATAGTTTCTGGCACAGGCTAAAAGTGATAATACCCCAAAAACAAATCCTTTCTTGCTGCATTAGCAATGGGAACTGGATAGTAGGATTTAGTAAAAAAAAATCCCTTACACAACAAACATATATGCTAGATATTGCAATACAAAAGAAGTTGACTCCAATACAAATTGTAACGACTGATAAGGAATTATCAACATGCTAACCAACCTTGTGTGGCCCAAGGGAACTTTTATGATAACCGAGAAGTTTTCTATTAATTAACTGATCCAATCCCAATTTATTGGAGCGTATGGACCCGCCCTTGTACCAGCTCCCACTTAAATACCAGACTTCACTTATTGGAGCGTTTGAACTCGTGACATTAACCCAATACTTCATGTGTTGTGTTCTTACCATTGAACTGAAGTCCTAGGGCCTCTTGACGTCTCCAGCTCAAAACATACAACGTAAACTTCATTAGAATTGTATGCAAATTGCTTCAGATGCTACGATTTATTGATAGCAAATGGAACTCAGACGAACACACATGTACATAGACCTCAATTGTGCAAATAAATAACAATAGCTGGGAAACAAAGAACCTCCTTAGTTCTCACTTTTTGCTACCTAGTCAGGTTGGCCCAATGCACAAAGCATCCCGTGTTCAAGCAGGGTCTAAGGAAGGGTCGCACCCCCAAGTGAGACTCCAAAAAAGTCTTAAAGTTATTCTAGTTTCGCAATATCAACAAACATAAATGACTAACAGAAATATAACAACTTAAAACGGAACAGGTTCATAGATTGAGTCCCAACATGACTTCATTCCAGAGTACATATTCCTCTTGTTAAGCTTACTCATGATCAGAAATTAAGGAAAAGAAAGACAAAACACAAAAATAAAAATCATATACATGCAAATTACTTAGATACTTTATATTTTTTTCATCGAAATCATTTCATGCTATGTGCGCTAGGCTGAAGCCATTAAAACCTGCATTCTGCTTGTGATATATCATAAAACAAGTGATTTGCCCTTTCCAAATGATGCCAGGAAAAGGAAGCTAACAAACACATCCCAAACAGCGAGTTGGCTATCATTTGTTTTCTGTCTACATCCACACAGACCATATTAAAAACAGAAAAGAAAAATATGAATGCGGAATATGGTAACCTGAATGATTAATCTGAAATCTTTGATCAGAGCATGCAAAAGGCTAGGCTACTAGAAACAGGTTCATACAGATTGTGTCTGCTTGTTAATTCTTTCAGATGCATAACAGGTCTAACTTAAGTTAAACCAATTAACTTGCTAGAAACTGACATATCAACAGACAGGCAATGTTATTCGACATCTAAAATGACAAAGCTTCTTAGATAAGAGTAAAAAGAAATCCTGAACTGCATAAATCGCAATAAAATCAATGCAGACAACCAACTTACAAGTACAGTCTCAGTGCTCAAGTAAAAAAATTCAAATTAACTGACCCAATTTCACCCTCTCCGATGAAGGAAGATCAGATGTTTCGACTGGGGATATACGCTAAACAAAGGAGTTAAAGGAAGCAGCCATTTCTAAAGGCCATTTCCTTCTACCTGGTTTCTCTCTCTCGCGTCTGCTGAGCTCTCTCACTTTTGTACCTGTTTTCTTGAGCGGTGTGAGGAGACTAAGAGTAAAATACGCCCAATTTTAAGGACTTCTCTCATAATTCATAAAGCCCCAACTAACAACCAGAAAATGTTCTCCTACCTCCCATCTTTTTGCTTTTCGTCTAAGTTGCTCGGACTCAGGTGTGGGTGCCCGATACGGGTGAGGATCTAGAGGTCGGATCCTTCATGATCTAAATTTTAAGATTTAGGGTTATGAATCCAGGTACTGCGGGTGAAGAAATTCAGCTAAAAATTAATTCAAATATCTAAAACTAGAGTTATTAAAATATGTCTAAATTATGGACATGTGGAAAACTTACAATGTGTTACGAGAAGGAGAAAATGTTGATCAATAGGAGATCCGAAAAGAGATAAAAGGAAAAGGACTCAAAAAAGTTTCCTGCTAACTGCAGAGACTTCCAAGCCACTGTATCACAGAGTACATGTTTTTTCTCGTCGTCACAGAGCACATGTTAGTAGGAGTCTTGACCATCTTTTGTACTTTAAAAAAAGGATAACTACAACATACCTGATTAACCATTCACAGACTTCAAATTCTTCCAATATCTTAATTATAACCCATACAAGACCCAAAAACAATTAGACTAGCACACAGAACAATAAACGAAAAGACTTCATCGCCACCTATTTGTTTCTTTGATGAACTTCCTTTTTTTCCAAAGATCCCTTTCCTTCTTATGCATTTATATCTCTATTTAACCTTTTTTTCTATCCATCCTGCAAATGGGGTGAAGACCAAAATATAGACAAGCTAACTAGACATTCAAGTGCAGAATGCTCAAAGTTACAACACATTGTTTCTCTTTCAACAAAGAAGTTCCATCATTCCAACATGCACACAACACATTACCTTCCCAACTTTTCATTTCCCTTCATTGTTAACTAACAGAACTCCTGCACAAAACTTTTCTGGCCCATCAAACAAGAACCGACCTAAAATTTGGGATCTCGTATACAAAGAGTAGAAAACAAATAATCTAGCTGATAGCTTACCTTCTAGAAACAAGGGTCTAAGAGATTAAGCCACAAAAGCAAGGTCAGAGGATATTTGGTTAATAAAGCTTAGTGCTGTCCAAATTATTAATAGTTGAATCTTGTGCACAAACCAACAGCTTCCTCTTGTCTCGACATTCTTGATCATTCTTTCAAAATCCAGGCCCACAAGGCTTAAATCAAAACTTAAGGTGCAGAAAGATCACAAAGAATAAATAATTGTAAAAAAATAATAAATAAATAAATAAAAGAAGGATAGAAGCTCAAAACTCAAAAGATTGGAACATCCTGTTATCCTATGTTGCTTGGACTCTCCGAAAATGTGGCCGGATATGTGTCGGATCCTCCAAAAGTAGTGCATTTTTGAAGGATCCGACACGGGTGCGGCTACATTTTGGAGAGTCCGCGCAACATAGCTGTTATCTTTCCCAATGAATGAAAGCTTTAGCCATATTGAGTGCCTCGCTCGCTTTCAATTCAAGGCATCAAAGCATTAACGTACGCATCAATCATCAACTATGGGCTATGTCTAGCAGAGGGAAGACTAAACAAAAAATATATCTCTTAATTTCAGATATTTTCAACCATTTGCCCATATAGTTTTCGTTTGGGCTTATAGCTATCCCATTTTCTTCATTTGGGTGTTTCTTCATTAAAACTCGCACTTTGTTTGCGCTTTGGGGCTTAAAGCCCCAATGAACCTCAGCACTCTTTTTGTTTTTTTGCCTTTAGTCGAACTCTTTTCACTTAGAAACATATTGTTGTTGTTTCTGCATTGAGTTGTGCTTTTGTTCTCACTCCCGAGAGTAAAGTGTCAACAACTAAATGATTTAAAAAACAGCAAACTAGTGCATTGCTCAAGTGCTTTTTAAATTCCAAGATGCACTCATTAAAAAATCATTACAAAAGCATCATCCGCAGTCAAGATTAGGGTTCATCATAAACATAATTTGAGATGCACAAGCTCTTTTCTGGATGTCATAATTAGTCATGCTCAACAGTCCCATACTCCCATTTGTATTTGACAACAAAGGATAAAGGGAAAATGAAGATCATTTTTTGAAAAGGGAAAAAAAAATTAAAATGATCATTTGTATTATGCTATTCTTATAAATCATATCATCCAGGATTATGTGATTTCCCATTCTTTGCTGATTTCGGTGTATTGTATTTTCATTTTGACTCTTCACTCTCTGGAGTGAGAACAAAAGCACAACTCAATGTAAAACCAATAATAATGCATTTTTAAGATGGAACATAAAAATGAAGTCATATGTTCAACTTTTGATGCTCAATAAGACAACGCTAAGGTGATGTTAAGCTATTGTAACTAAGATGGTGTCAAGTTGGGATTTTGTGACAGGAATGACAGCAGAGACTTTAGCTTAAAGTAGACCGTAGAAAGTCAATCTCTTTGGCATTACAAGAGAATCTTCACACACTCAAACTTAGATAATGGGTTGTTCAAGGGTTGAAAGTTGGGAGGGGTAGGGGAAGCAGTGCTGATTTATATTTTTTCCCTCGGTATTCAGCTAAATTTCCTCTTATGTACAGATTTACCTCCTACTTTGCACAGATCCAGTTCAACTCCGCAAGGATTGGAAAGTTGGTGTCGAGACTCAGACCACTCGTAAGGATTTCCATTGCTTTATCCCCTCTTCATTTACTCTTGTTATTACCTTACCATTTTCCAGAACAAATGGCACAAACTGCTCCACAAATTAATGAAGCCTACTTGGCATGTTAATTAGGCTGTTGATGAATGTGGTATCCATATTATAAAGAATGAGAACCTCGAAATGAGCACTGGAACCTGTACTAATGCTTTTCCTCAAGAATGGAACAAATACGTGTAACCATTTTGATTTGTAGCACTTGAGATATCATTTCTTAGCATGACGTGAAAGTTTGCTATGAATAAAGAAGATGAGAAGGAACTCTGGCTTTCCTGCCTTTTGTCAATCAGAAACTATCCCAATTACGCGAAGCACAGGTCTGCAACATGTAAAAGACTTGCCAAGAAAAGGAGGAAAAAAAAAGAATTTCTGCTACTGAATTTACATTTTGACAGCCGATACCATAACTTACAGTCCAGGTTCTCATTTATGAGAGGACTCACTTCAGCTAACTATATGTTGCAGCAGTTTTCAGGTACCTGCATAAAAAAGTGAGAATACAACAATCAGATTACTATTAAATAACAACCAAAGAGGTAGAGAATTAGCTCAGTTTACTATAACTCACATTCTAAATGTTGTATTTTTCGCATAGTTGTTTACGAGGCAAAGAATGTCATCACGTCTTCATCAAGGAATAGTTCAAAATCACCAGTATCTAATGTACTTGGGACATCAAGATCAAAGTTAAATGCACTGCTGAGTCTAGCATAATCCGGTGAGCCACCAGCAATTGGAGATGCGAAATGCATCTCAACAGGCCTATCATGATCATGCTGAAATGTGTCTTTTCCATAACGGTGGTCTTCTCTGGCAATATCATTTCTACTTCCATGAAGCACTGATGACCTAACTCCAGAATCCTTTGTTTTAATCTGAGGTTCATTGAACGCCAAATGAGACTGCTGTTCATCATGAGCTGACACGAATTCAGCTGACGGTGTATAATATTGATATATATGAGGTTGATGCAAGTTAGGATATTGAGATCCATGAGCAAAACCGGGATCCTGTAATTCATGATGTAGGACAGAATTTTCAGGTCCATTATGTAACCCATTGTTTGGAGGTACATAATGAAATATGGAACTTCTAGGTTCATTATTCATCCCAGAAAATTGGGGTCTGCTCTGCAATTGAGTATCATGAAGCTGGTGCTGCACAACAGAATCTTGAGTTCCAAGATGAAATCTCGATTCATATGGGACAACCTCAGAGTTTTCCAACACTGGATAAATTGATGGCCCATTGCTGATGAATGCATCCTCTGTAGAGACCGCATTAGTTGATGGAACCACGGAAAGGTTAGAGTCTCTTAATTGTAATTCAGGTTGATCCTTCTCTGGTTGGCTTTCATTTGTGATGTGCCCGGCAAACTGCACATTTGAATTGTTTATATCAGGTAAGGTATTTCTAGCCTCATCATCAGGTTGCTGGTTGTTGAGAGATAGTTGAGTCTGTTGAGGGTTCGACCTAGCACGTTTTCTTTTTCGACGTTGTCCATTTCCTTGCTCCTTACCTTGATGAGATTGAGGACGAGCATTCGATGGTTCATTTCCCCTCTCATCTCTAGATGAAACAGAGCCATTACCATCATTGACACCATCAACATCATAATCACTGTCACTATCAACAGAAGGTTTCTTCTTTTCACCGCGAATTCTATTAGGTGCCTCGCTTATGCTGGATGACCCATTGTCACTGCTCGGTTGCTGGATAGTGGACTCCTCTCTACTTAAGACAGCTAACCATATTGAGCTCTCCTTCGCAGTCATCTTGTCCTGTAAACACTTTGACTGCCGGACTAGTCTCCTGATCTTTGCGATATCAGGTGACATATGCTTTATAACAGCAGTTAGAACACCAACTTTATACATTTTCTTCAAATCATGCGGCTTCTTGTACGGCGGTTTCTGACCCTTAGGCAGTCCCATTTTCGTCCACCATTCCTCGTTTCCTGTTGGCCACCAGGGCGGTGAGACACCTTTCTCCAGCGGGAACTTCCGCTGAGGTGGATCACAATGTTGCATTAAAGAAGACAAAAGGGATCCCAATGTTGCATCTTGCAAATCCTGCAGAACGCTTTGCGGGTTACCATTTTGATTACCAACGCCCTCTCCTTTCGCACGACATTCTGCTTCATACTTTGCTATTGCAGCAGGACCGTTCTTATCAAACTTCACCTTCTCCTTCCACCAAGCTCTTATGTTATCAGACGCACCGCTCACTGGTTTTCCCTTCTCGGGTATGATGCCATAAACAAATCCTCGAGCCTTGCAAACCTCCATGAGCTTCAACATGTACTTCAAAATCCCATCTTGAGCTCTTGACATCTTTTTCCGCCGAGCTTGATCAGTGGTTTGCTTATTCTTCTGCTTGTCTGCAGCTTGCTGTGCAGCAAGTTTCTGCCTTTCCTTAAGCCTCTTGAGCTTGACGCGATCCTTCCACATTCGCCTCTCCAATTCCTCGGGATCAATCTCTTCATCACTCACATCTTTTTCCTCTATATTATCGCACCTTATGTCATCGACTTCAATGTCTGAGCTGTTGCCCAATCCATCAGCATCAATCATACAGTACTCCATTCAAATCAAATGAAAGGAAAAAAATACTATATATACACCCAATAAACAAACAACAATCCTCAAATTGTTCACAAAAATCAAGAATTGACAAAAATCCAATACACACTGCAATTACCAAATACTCATTTCTCAATATTCAAGTTCATTTCTTGAATTCTCAAAATGGACCCACGTCAGAATTTCCAATAATTCATGAACACAACCAAAAAATTGTAACTTTAAATTACTACTCACACACCCAACAGCTCAAACCCCCTAAATAAAACCCAAAAGATGACAAAGCCAAAAGTTCCTAAAAATTACAATTCTTGTCAAATGATAGAAGAATTGTTCACCGCTATCAAAATTTTACATCAGTTTAACAAATTCAACAAGAAAATATACAAAAATATTCTACAAACAGAGAAGAAAAAGAAGAATTAATAATTTTATTGGGAGGTGGGAAATTCAACTTTCTAACCTGACATCAACTCCAATCTCATCCATCACAGCCGTGTCTATTTTCAAGAGTTTCTCTTCAACCTAAAAAAAAAAGAAAGGTTGCCTTTGGAACATAAAGGAAAAAGGATCCCACCAAAAGGAAAGAAAATAAAAAGGGGCAAAAAAGGGTTTTAAAAATCAAGAAAATATATATATGCAGATACGATGTATTTCTGAAGTGTATAAAGAAGAGAGAGAGAGAGAGAGAGCGAGGGGTCAGAAAAACAACAGTGGGGAGAGAGAAGAAAAAATGTTGAAAATCCCCCAAAAGAAAAGAAAAAAAGAAAAAAATTCGAAGGGGCAAAAATACAAGAGGCAAAGTCATCTTTTGCGACTCATAGGGAAGGTTAAAGTTTCACGACGTCATTCCTGAGCTATATTTTGTTGTTTTATTCTTTAATCTATTTATCTTAATATAAAAATTTTTACAATCTGATTAGTTTGCCTTTAGCATCTACTACAACAATCTACTAGCTAATATAAGTGAAGTTTATTATCAACTTTTATTCTACATTGAATTGCCAAACTGATAACCTCTAAAGAATCAGTCTATTCAGCTTCTAAACATGATATATTTGTGATTGTTAAATTAAATATACATTTTTCTTTGATTTGCGTAAGAGTTAAATTAGCAATTGTGTCTCATTACGAAATAAAGTGTCTTACTTCCAAGAATTACTTCAAAACAACTATGTATTTATGTTTTTGTAACTGTGTTACTACTATTTTTTTCGTGCAGGATTTTTTAAGAAATGTTTAAGAAATGAATTAAGCAAAAGAGTGTAGTAGAAAGCACAAATTGGTCAAATCATAATTGTTTACATTAAGAATAAATAGATTAAACAAGGCGAAATACATAAACGGCCCCTTCAAGTTGTCCACAACGGTCAGTTGAATACCTCAACTGAGACTATTTCCAGTTAAACACTTCAAGTGGCTATTAAGTAGGTCAAGTAAACACCTGAGTACAGCAGGCCATATGCGTGAGTTGCACTTGCGGATGACATGGCAAATGAACCAATCAAAAAATGACACGTGTAATTTTGCCATAACAATTTGACACATATAATTAACAAAAAAATATATTTGAAAAAGAAAAAAAACTTTTCTCCTAAACCAGTTCCTCCTTCCCTAACTCTTCTTCCAAGCTTTCTCAAACCCTTCCCCTTACTCGTTGAACCCATGACCACCATATCATCCGCAAGAAATTGGGCAAAGAAAAATTTAGATTGAACCTTGAAGGTGATGAAGATTAATGGCGAAATCTTGAAACTGAAAACACCAGTAACAACGTTGGACGTAGTAAAAGACTACTCAGGTCATGTTTTACTAGAATCAGAAGCAGTGAAGAAGTTTGTTGTCAGAGCTAAGCCACTGAAACCAGAACAAGAACTGAAGCCAAACAAAATATATTTCCTTGTTGAATTGCCTTTGTTTCCTAAAGAAGAAATTAGTAGAGTTCCAAGAAGAGTGAAATCTGCTGTTCAGATGAGTGCAAAGGATCGGCTCGAGTGTCTCATGTTAACACGAAGATCGGCTTCTGATTTGTCGATTTCGAAGCCGAATAATGGACCGATTCAGTTGAAGATGAAGCTGCCGAGGAGTTTAGTTCAGAAGCTGGTAGAAGAAGGGGAAGTAAAGATGAAGGTATGTGGGTCCACAAAAATAAAGGTTATTTTTTAAACTTAAAAAAAAAAGAGAAAAGAACACAATTCCTGTCCTCACGCGCTCAATTTGTAGTGAGACACAATTGATTTGCTATGTCAGCGCAAAGTGTTTACTTGACCTACTTAATAGTCACTTGAAGTGTTTAACTGGAAATAGTCTTAGTTGAGGAGTTCAACTGACCGTTGGGGACAACTTGGAGGGGCTGTTTACGTATTTCGCCAAAATTGTTACCAAACAAAAAAAAGTAATGAAAGTAAGTGTAATATTATAAATTACTAGGGGAGGTCAGTGTTATACAAAAAAATTGCAAAAGTATGATGAGGTTCCACCCACAAATCACATAGAAAGTGGAGTAATGTTATTATAAAAAGAAGGGAGAAATTTTTTTTTTTTTTGATTTTTCACCCGGTATTCGGTACCCACATTGGGGCCCGACTAATCCGGATTCGCGCCAGGAAGTCCCACATTGGGGGGTAAAGCGCTCCCTAACAAAGGCGACTCCATGCCCAGGGGCTCGAACTCGAGACCTCTGGTTAAGGATGAAGGAGTACTTACCACTCCACCACAATTCGTAAAAGAAGGGAGAATTACAAAGAAAGGCTTCCTACTTTTCCTCAACACTAAGCAATAATTAATTTTGGTTAAAATTTATCTCTTGCCATTCATACATAGTAATTCGTATAAACCTTTTTTCTCTAATAAAAGAAAATTAGTAAATGCTTTCTGTATAAGAGTTAATAAAATGAAACAACTTAATGGTCCTTATTATACTACAACTGTAACTGCATTCAGTGCATTGTTATCTAGTTATATTTTCTTAAATCACTTTTACTCGTGTTCAAGTAATAATACAAAACTTAATTAGTCAACTGCGTTGTTCTTTTAAATTCACTTTTCACTTTTTATGTTTTTTATAATGATGGTGGTCGAGTCAGCTTTGTATACGGTCAAAATCGGGCATGCCTAATTTTGTATGGCTGACCGAAATCGGGGTGGTAGATTAAGGCTCGGTCTCGATCATATCGGACCATGGTACGGATATGAATTGGTAAGCTCGTGGATCAATGGCCGATCAAGATCGAGACCAGCCGTGGTCGAGATCGAAGCAAGAAAGAGATCGAGCGAGATTGAAGGAAGCCTGCCAGGTCGAATAACAGAAAGCTGAGATATCCGCGATCAGGCAAGGATCGTGGCGGAAATCTCGGCACGTATCAAGTCAGGACCGATTATTTAGCGTATCACAGGATTTAAATACGTAATTAGAATTATACCATAAATAGGATTCCTCTACTATAAAAAGAGGGCCCTAATCATCTTGTAGAAGACATTCACACATATCAAAGCAATACAATTCTCTTTTCTCTTATATATACTCTCTTGTTCATCAGTTTGTTTTATAAATCTACGCTCACTTATTCAATTCGAGGGTGACCTAGCTCGAGGGCTCAATCGCATTTAAATACTGGTTTGCGCTGTTTTGTTGTTTATTTCAATTGGGGCTAAGTGAAATTACATATCCTTAAAACTACTTATAAGTTTAATTGTTATGTGATTTAAGGGTAAACAGTTTGGCGCCCACCGTGGGGCTAAGGATAATAGTGATTGTCTGGTATTAATTCTCATAACACACACTGCTTTACACTTGTTCTCGTAAGTGTCTTTGATTTCAGGAATCAACATGTCAAACTCTCAAGTAGCACCACCTCACACAGACCATGACCTTGGTCTTTATGGAGAGAACGAAAACATAGTCGCCCCGGGAAACGGAGAACCTCCAGTCAACCCCGATGGACCGCTGGCCATAGACCCAGTCGATGTCAGCTCCCATATTGCCATTAATGGCAATTTGGGCGTCGAACCTGAAAATAGCGTCCGTAGAGATGCTCGAGTAAGCGATCAGAATGCACAGAGCGGTGAAGAAGGCGGAATTAGCCTTCGAATGATATTCGAGATGTTGTAGACTCAACAAGATGAGATAGCGCAACTCCAAAATCAGAATCGAGCACCAAGCAGAATTGAGCTCGAAACATCACAAGAAGTTGTTCATAAAGCCGAACCTGTACTGGAGAAATCGAACGCCAATAAATCGGGGACTGACCCCGCCTTTATGAAGATGATTGAGGAGCTCACTAAATGGATAGAATCAGGAGAAAAGAAAATCGAGGCAAATGATAAAAATGTAGAAACATACAACTTCCGGGTTTATCAAATACTGGGGGCACCACCGATTCTAAAGGGTTTGGATTCGAAGAAGTTCGTGCAGAAGCCTTTCCCTCCAAGTACAGCTCCGAAGCCCATCCCGAAAAAATTCCGCATGCCAGAAATTCCCAAATACAATGGGACCACTGACCCTAATGAGCATGTTACTTCTCATACATGCGCAATAAAGGGGAATGACTTAGAAGACGATGAGATTGAATCTGTTCAATTGAAAAAGTTTGGAGAGAATTTATCTAAAGGGGCGATGATATGGTACCACAATTTTCTGCCCAATTCCATCGATTCCTTCGCCATGCTGGCAGATTCGTTTGTAAAGTCACACGCCGGAGCAATAAAGGTTGCGACTAGAAAGTCGGACCTCTTCAAAGTGAGACAAAAGGACAACGAAATGCTAAGGGGAATTCATATCTCGGATCCAGATGGAACGCATGGACCTACCCCCGATCACAGATGATTGGGATGTTCAAGCTTTCACTCAAGGACTCAACGTTTGGAGTTTCATAGCTTCATAGCAATTGAAGCAAAATTTGATCGAGTATCCAGCTGTCACTTGGGCCGATGTACATAATCGGTATCAGTCAAAGATCAGGATCGAGGATGATCAATTGGGGGCCCCCTATAGGGTCCATTTATCCTTACAGGCCCGGGATAGAATCAAGAGGGATATCGATCGAGAACCAAGGTCGAATAGAGATCGATATCAACCATACAACGGAGACCGTAGAGGCAGCAAGTCTGGAGGAAACTTTGCACGGAATGAGAGGATAAATGATCAAGGTCAAAGTTCACGGGGACTTAGTACTGAGGAAGGTCACATTAAACATCCAGAATCCAAATGAAAGTATGACCCTATTTCAATTCTTTCTATTTTGCGACTAACACTTACAGGTTATCGACAAGGAGCGGCGCAAAGCTTTGGATCTTAAAGCACGCGTTGCACTCTTTTTCTCTTGATCCATTTTTTGCCCAATTGAGTTTTTCGGCAAGGCTTTAAATAAGGCAATAATAGATCGTGCTAACTTAGAATCGAAGGTCGACCACGAGTCAGTGTCAAAGACAGCCTCCGAGGTTCCCTATAATAAACCTCGAATACTAGGAGGCATTGCCTTTGGATGTCAACTTTGTTGCAAGGAAATTACTTCATAATGACGGGGTCTTGATAGGGCTAAACGGTCGAACGAATCATGCCCACATAGGTTGTTCGAGCCCTGGCTCAAAACATGTACGCATGTATAATCATTTTTCTCAAGAATAAAGAGAAGTATTTTTCCTTGCAATTATCTCATGTCTTAGAAAAGGTTTTTCTACTTTACAATTTCATATTCTTGATCTATTATGTAAACAGGCTCA